TCCTCAATGCGGTGGTGTAGCCAAATCCCTTTCTCCTCCCAATTGTAGTGGAGTCGTTGAATCCTTTTCACCTCCTCGGTGCAACAGAAAAGCTGGATCCTTCCCATAAAGAAACTCTTCCCTGAGTTTTCCTCAAGCAATGATACTGACCATGGAGGAAGAAGGTACAAGATCACCAAGCAACCATGTGTAGAAATTCCTCTCACACTCTTTTATTTCCAAAAGAATTTTCTCCCTCTAGATCTCACCTCTCTCTCCCAAGGAAATGCTCCCTATCTAAACCACTCTCATAAAATCTCACCTTCAAAAAAGTGATAAAAGATTCCCTAAGATGGTTTACGGATGATATTTAAACAAATGCACAAAATAAACCTAAAATTAATGTTATCCAACTATGGATCGTACAATATGATTAGTTCAATGCATCCTATTAGTACTACAGAAATATTAAGATCTTGTATAATTAGTTTAAATATTTGAACAGATCGCCCTGTACGATATCAAGGGTCGTATAATATAATGAGTTCAATCTAAAAGGATTTTCATCCCATATGATGGTTGGAAGATAAAAATCATCCTTGGAGATGATTGGGTAGTACTGTACAAATTAGGATATCATACAATATGATATAGAATATAAATTAATCTAAATGGGATTGCTTAATTACAAAATTCAATTAGGCAAAATTAAACTACATCGTTTAGTATGATTATAATAATATAGTATGAATAATTATACTTCAAATTTTAAAATATAGCCTAATTTATGATTGATATCTATAATATTTTTTGTATATTATTGGGTTCGTATAGTACGATTATTTCATTGAGTTTTATTTAGTCAATTAGCTATTTAATTAATTTTCGAAATAACCGATCATACAATACAAACCTCAAAAAAATTAAAACTCTTATTTTCGCTACCCCATGTGTATTTGCATGGTTTCTAAGCTGACAGACACCCTTAAATGACATTTACTCAAGAAATATATAACAAAAAATAAATAAATGAAAATTACAGACTCTTGCAAACATCACCCTATTATACCCGATCTTGAGCCTTACATCTTCATTGCATGGTGTATGATGTAACTGAAATGTTAGTGTGCACAAAAGAAAATATGTAATATAGGTACTAGGAAAAATAAGTAGCAATTAAAAATATTTATTACCATCAAAATCATAAGCTTAAGATCTCGTGTTACAACAAGTCATCACTATAATGTACGACTTAGGTAATAAAGTGCTGTAGATGTAAATGCTATGATGTTATATATGTGGGCACTATGGCACTCATTCAACATTTATAAATTTTAGCCTTTCTTGGCTAATTCTTGCACAAAGTAAATTAAAAAAAAAATACTTTTCACTATATTATACCAAAATAAAAAACATAAAAGTTACACTTAAAATCAATAGAGTTTGCCAAATGTCATGGTGAGTCAAACCAACAAAATAAGGGTCTTGGATAAGTTCGGCTTAACCATAGGGACATGGTTTAAGTTTAGCTAAGTTTGGCCCAGGGTTTAGCGTATTGGGTAGCATTTTGGTAATTTTGGATAATTCAGGTTAATTTATTTTAAAGAAATTGACCAAAGTGACTATATATGACCAAATTATGAATTTGAATCACAATAATCAAGGTCAAGGTCAAATAGGCTAGGTTTGGGTTACTAGGGAATGCTAAGAGGAAATTTGGTATTTTTAAGGTTCCTTGGTTGAAACCTAGGAGCTAACCTTATGCTTGGGTTTGTTTCAGCAAGTCGTAATCCTTTTAAGTCTACTAGAGAGTATCTATTAATGTTTTGCAATTTCAAGGTTAGTCTAAGCTAGCTGCTTATACCATTCCCAAAGTATAAGGAGCCATAAATACTAAGAATAGACTAAGGGAAAGAAGAGTATTGACCTTAGGTTAAGATTGGTAACTAAAGAGGTGATGACCATTGCATTAGTATAGGTGTTTCTAGTCATAGTCTTGTCTACTTCACTAAAAATAATTGGTGAGACATTAATCATGGGTTCCCTCGAGGTAATAGCCAAGATAAATTTGTAAATCCTAGGACTTTTGGGGTTACTTGCATTAAATACTCAACATTTTCTCTTGAACTCATAATGGAAGGAACAAGTAAGATAATGTGAAGGGAGCTAGTATATGTAGGCTCATTTTATTTTACTCTTCATAAATGCGTTCCCAAAAAAACAATAAGGATTAGAAAGTATAAGTTCCTTTAGCTTTCCAACTTTGATGAGATCTTCCACTTATTTATAGTGGTGTCCATTTTACAAAATTTCATGACAGTGATCTTTGTGGAATGAACAATATAACGACATGCCCCTTGAAAGCGCACACACTATCATAGGTCTTGAGCACTTGAACAATTATTTATTTCGGTAGGCATGTATAAGTTATACCATTGATAACTATTGGCTCTTTTATCCTTCATTTGGGCTCTATAATGATTTTGAGAAGCCTCACCTTTGGAGGGGCTTTTTTGCACTCTAGGAAAAATGATGTTGCAACATAATTGGTCTCCTTTTAGCTCATTCTCTTGTGTGACTTCACTTTTATTTCCTTGTTCCCAATCCCTCATAGTGACTTAATCTTTTGAGCAAGTGGACGAACAAGTCTTAACCACTTGATTATACCCTTTGCGTTAATTAAGCTTTTGATGACTTAAAGTAATTCAACCAACATCCTTGGCTACTATAGAATTAATGTATAATAAAATGTACGTTCCCTTAACCTTTATATTAGGGAAGTTTGATCAACCAAAAGATTCAAGTCTATAACAATGAGCATTTTCCTTTAGAACCTCACAATAAAACTTCTTAGTGACTCATCAGATTCCTTTCAAATCTTGAGAAGAGTCTATGAGCTTTACAAAGGCTTGACTGTGCTTGCAAAATGGGTTAAGAAAATTTAGTTATAACTTGCGACAGAGGTGATTACTCTTAAAAGGGTATAGTAAACCACTTTAGCACCAACTTTATCAGATTAGTGAAGAATAACTAGCATTTCAAGGCACCATTGACATAAAGTGATATCTCGTAGACTTAAAGTTAGTAATATGGTCCACTTGGTTAGTCTTACCACTATAGGGCTCTAGGCGAGGCATCTTGAGATTTAGAAGCGGTCTCGCTTCTATAATATCCTTGGTAGATATTACTCCTCATTACACATGACAAAGTGAGTAGGATCTGAATCTATTATAAAGATTAGGACTCCACTCTGTGGTCTTCTATGACAAACTGCCATGTTAGAGGATTCCTCAAGGATACTCTCTCATGGTGCTTGCCTTGGGAGTTCTACCTGGGCATCATGGATCATTTTTATCAGCACATCTTCAATCTCAATGGGATCATGAGGAATGTTGTAGTTTGAAGCTTCCATGTTTACTAATTACTCGAGTTATCTTGTTCGTCAAGCCATGCCTATCTTTTAGTCATTAGCACAAATGCTTACTCCCTCACACTTTCAAGACATTGCATCTATGTTTGTTCGTGGGTGATACCAGAACTTTGTATCAAGCAAGCTCAATAGAATGGAACATAACAAAAGAGGCTATGGTGAGAATGAAATGAGAAGAAGATTACTTGGAGGAAAGTATAGCACTCGCTCAATAGTGTGTTTTGAACATGCAGAAATATATAAAATTTATCTATTCACCTTTTATTTTTAATGATTTGACGAAAGGGTCCACCAAAAAGATAAAAAATATAATAAGAAATGAAATATAATACACATTTTCATGGACACGTGCCAGGCTCTAACAGGTGTTGAGTTTTTTGCTGCTGCTTTCTGATCTAGCACCTTAGTCTCAAGGTGAGTTCCCTTCTAGTGATTGTTTATGGCAAGTGGAAGAGGGAAAATCCTCTAACAAGTCGAGTAGGAAGGACTACTACTGTCGACACCATTAACAACATTGGTGACATATTGGAAGGTGCCCTTGAGTTTCATTGATGTGTGGGGTGTGTTCGTTTGAGTCGTGGGAATAATGGACTCAATGATTGACTAAGCACAATGTGGTGAACTTGAATCTCAATGGGAGGATACTTCCTTGAAGCTAGCCGGAGGTGATGGTGTGTTACTCTGGGAGTGTGCTTCAAATAGAAGTAATGAGTCATCCTAATATGAGTGGCACATATGAACACTTGACATTTCCATTAGAGGAATCTCCTATCTAATTGCTTTCCATGTTGAAGACAATGCCCCTTCGGCGAGTGCTCATTGCAAAGATATATCTAGTTCGTGTTCTCCCATTGTAACCTGTTAGATACCTATTATGTCTAACAAGACAGTTACAATATACAATCGCTTCCTTTGAGTGTCCCCCATTTGTTCTACTAGATTTTGCTAAGGAGGATAAGAAGGAAACTGAGCAAAGTGATTATATAAGTCATGAGAACAAGGAAACAGAAGTTCACATAACCAGAGGGATGTTTCACCTGAAACTTGTTCAAGAGTGAAGGACGATATTGATCTTTATTGATTTTATTGGGTTAGTTGAGCCTGGTTTAGTCACTTAAGGCAAGTATTTACATAGGCATGCCTAAACCGATGTACAAAGTTTTAATCGTGAAGAGAATGGATATTTTACGTGAAAAACTATGCATTAGTAATTTTTAGTAACAAGTATATAATCTTACGATATAATCAAGCTGGGGGCTCTTTTTTTTTTTTAATTTATTATTATTTTTTTAATTGTTGGAAAAAGAGAGCTTTCTTGCTGAGTTAGATACAAAGGCTGATCAGGTTTCATTCTTTGCAATGAGTGTATTTGGATGCGTTCTTATTTATGAGCCCAGTTATACCAATTTTATTCCTAAACTAGGTCTTACGATTCTGAATTTCAAATATGAACAGAGTAAAAGAAAATCTGACTGAGAACAAGGCAAATATCATTTGCATTCAGATAAATGGCGAAATTTATAGAAATATTGGAACAAACAAGCAAGTGTTCCTGTTTACTCAGCACTTAAAAGACCATTTCTCCGGGAAATTAAATTTTCTTGCATGGTGGCAGAGGCTGACCACAGAGGCACTGGTTATGAGCATAAGCAGCTACCGGAAATATGTTGAATGGCCTCCCCTGCGGAATCTGTCCACATAAGCTATTAACTCTGAAACTTGCATGCCTAATATTGCTGAGCCTAGAAAATACAGCAGGTATACTTCCTGTGAGATTATTGTTTGAGAGATCCAGCCACTGCAACCTAAGTAATTTACCCATGGTAGCAGGTATAACTCCAAAAACTTGATTCCTAGAAAGATTTAGCACCTCAAGAGTGGTTAGATTTGATATGCTGCTCGGAATTTGACCTGTAATTTTATTTTTGGAGAGATGAAGGCATTTAAGTCTGAATCCTTCGCTGAATTGAGGCAAGCTACCTGAAACATTGTTGCTTGAGATGTCAATAGATTCTAGGAAGCTGCTTGCTTTTTGCAGTAAATCTGAGACCGAACCATAAAGCTGGTTGGAATGGAGATCAAGTGTGGAAAGACTTTCAGGCAAATTAATTCCAGTTATATTTGATCTTAGCTGGTTACTGGAGAGTTTGAGCACCTGTAGGTTAGTCATGTTAGAAAGAAAATCACCTATATTTCCTGTGATTTTATTGTCCGACAGGTCAATTGAACTCAATAAATCTGCTCTTGTGAAAACTGGAAGTGTTCCCCCAATGCTGCATCCTGCAAGGCTGATATATCTTAGTTCTTTTCCGTTTATCCAATCCTCGATGGCATCCAAATGCAAATAATTATAGGAAAGATCTATTGAAATTAATGATGGAAGGCCATTTCTGAAGCTATTGGGAAATGGATTCGAAAACTCATTCTTAGAGAGATTGAGATACCACAGCTTCTGCAATCCACCAAGAGATTCTGGAATTGAACCAGTGAAAGAATTACTACTCAGTGAAAGAGAATTCAATAACTTGAGGTTGCCAATTTGGCTTGGGATCAGGCCAGTCAGCTTGTTATGACTCAAGGAGATATCTAAGACATTGGTAAGATTGCAGAGCGAAATAGGCATCACTCCTGATAACTGATTATTGGAGAGGTCAATGTATGTAAGATTCTTAAAGAAGCCAATATAGCTAGGAATTTCTCCAGATAAAAGATTGTAGCTCAAGTCAAGTGACTGCAAACTTCGAAAGTTTCTAAATGAGGATGGTACCATGCCTGTAAGTGAGTTTCTACCTAAATTAATCTGACTCAAATTTTTTAGAGATCCAAGGCTTTGAGGGATTTGACCTTGCAAATGATTGCCACTAAGAGATAATGCAATGAGTGAACTTAGCTTGCCAAAGCTTGAAGGGATGGTGCCTTCCAGCAAACTATCTTCAAGATAAAGCTGTGTGAGGTGACCCAAATCTGAAAAGCTTTCTGGAATATATCCTTTGATCTGCTTCATTCCGCTAAGTACCATCACTTGCAAAAACTGGAGCTTACCAAGTGAAGGAGAGAGAAAGCCCTTCATGTAAAGGTTTTGTCCCACACTTTCTCGCGGTCTTTGAAGCTGCAACTTGATGACCCTTCCAGTTTCGGGGTGGCATTCAATGCCCTCCCATGCACCACAGCAGTCGGTGCCTACCCATGAGAAGAGAATGCCAGTCGTGTCCTTCAAGATTCCAGCTTTGAAACTGAGAAGAGCTGCTCTGTCTTCTTCGGAGCAAGATGGTGCTTGAGCCACAAGATTTTGTGGGAAAAGAGAAGAGGAGGAGAGGAGAACGAAAGCTGAGTACTTGAAATACAAGTGTAAATTTCTCATATTGGGATCTTCAGAGGTAATTTTGGGATTTGGGAGGAATTTTATCGAGCTTTGTGGAGATCAAATGTGGAGAAAAGTTAAAGGTGATTGGTTTTATGCTTGGGATAAAAAGGCTTGATAATGATGATGAAGATGAAATGTAGAAGCTATTTCTAGTGTGTGAATAGTGATTGGAGCTTTAATTTTGTTTATTTCGTTCACAAGACCTGTGACCTGGGAGCCTTCACAATCATCATTATATCCTTGTAGCGCGTTGGAGCGTTCGGACTTTGAATTCCTTATGTTGCTTCCGTTTTATAAATACTTGAAAAGAAAAAGATAAAAAAATAAGTAGTTTCACATTCTAGACTTATTCTGTCGTGTGTATATTCATGACAATTTTCTGAAGATTCCCTTTTAAAATTTTTTTTTTTTTGAGAAATGCAAATTGCAATTTAATGAAAGAAGCTAATTACAAACTAAAGCAAAGGCTCACATTCCTTCTTCAATAAAAAACAAAGAGAAAGAGGAATGTTAGCAAAGGAATAGCTATCAAAGTAAAAGTTTGTATCAAGAGCTAAAGTAGCACACAAATCAGCTACCTTATTACAATTTCTATGAACATGATGAAGAATTACCTTATTTAAATCGGTTAAGAAAAAAAAGTCTTCCTCCTTCCGATTGAAACCTTGCCAATTGGTCTTGTTCAAAGACTTTTGAATGAATTTGATAACGTTGATGTTATCTCCTTCAATTATTACCCCTTTACTTTCAAGCATCCAAGGTTGGATAAGTCTTCTAAGAGTCATAATAGCATCCATTTCAAGATGAGCAATATCCCAATTCGTTCTCTTTTCTCCTAAAGCAGTCAACAATCTTCCTTTATAATCTCTGAAACAGCCTCCAATTCCAGCCGTATAAGAAGTCATGAGTGATGCATCCACATTAATCTTAATCCAGACTTGCGGTGGAGGGTGCCAAGAGGTTTGAAACTCCCAAGGGAGATTAGCACCCCAGCTATCAATGACAGGATTAAGATTGTTACCTGCAGAATAAAGCACATAAGCCGTTAGAATAGGAATGGAAGTTGCAGTTTTTCCATGCTTAACAGCATTTCTGCTCTTCCAATTTTGGTACACCGCATTGAAGTAAAGACTAACTGTGTTTGGTGTAAGAGTAGAGAGGATTTTCAACTCAGCTAAACATTTATTCATGGATTCAAAAATCGGAACAAAGACACCCCATTTCTAGATTTGTTTAAGGATTTTCTGCAACTCTTTACATCTAATAGTAATATGCTCCAGTTTTTCACATTCTGAACAACCTCTAGCACAACGTTCATCCTCAGTAAGTTTCCTATACTTAAAAAACTCATTGGTAGGAATAGCTTCTTTACTCACCCTCCACCAGAAAAGATCAACACGAACATATAGTTTTAATTTCCTTAACCAATTATAAAAACCCAAGTCTTCATTACTATTATTCTCCTTCCTGGAAGCTGCAATAGCACGGGCTGTTATAGTTTTCCTAGATGGAAAACAAATCTCCTCCAAAAAATCTTCATTGGCATCCTTGTCTATAGGTATCTGCATCACCACAGTAATTATTTCTTCAGTAAAAAAAAACCTCCAATTCTTCTAGATTCCAGAAGCCATGATCTAAAATGAAATGGCTGAGTTTTAACCCATCCATATCTACACAATTCGCTGTAATTGGCCATTCACTTAAGCTTTTATCTAAGAGCAAAATGTCCTTAAGAGCATCAATTTTCTTCCCATTAACCACTCTCCACCTCAAAAGAGGTTTTAAGTGAAAAACACCTTCATTCAAGACCTTCCAAGCAATAGATTTGCCATAACTATTGCATCCACGCCACCATCTATCACCATATTTGGCAGTTATAACTTGATATAATAAAGAGTTTTGATTATTCAGTAGTCTCCAGGTTAGCCTTGCCTTGAGAGGACCAGTTCTACTCACTGCCGAGTGGAAATTCAACCCTCCTTGATCTTTTGCTTTACACAATTTGTTCCAAGCAATGTAGTGCAAACCCTTTTTTCCATCCCTTTTTTGCCAAATAAAATTCCTACAGCACCTATCAATCTCATGGAGGATTTTTTTTGGAACCAAAGTGTGGGCATAAATGAAATTAGAAAGACTTAAGAGGAAAGTCTTCGCAAGAGTCATTCTCCCTGCCAAAGAAAGGCATTTACTACCCCAAGTATTCAATTTAAGCATCACTGAATCCAAAATAAATTTGAAATCAGTTCTAACCGGTCTTCTCAACATCAATTTGATTCCAAGAAACTGAAACTCTTCAACAGTTTTAAATTTCAGAATTTTCTTCACCTGTAACATATCCATTCTATTCATCCCCTTACTGAACAATATTTGAGATTTTGCATTGTTAACCCTTAATCCAGTCCATGAACAGAAATCTACAATAATTTTATTCATCTTGGCAGCAAGATTTTTGGAAGCATGAGAGAAAAGCAAAACATCATTAGTAAATAACAAGTGACTAACCTTATGAGCTCTTTATGAAATCTGAATTCCCATTCCTTGACCTCTTTGCTCCATAGCTAAGGAAAAAACCTGAGAACACATAATGTACAAATATGGCGATAAAGGACATCCTTGTCTAAAGCCATTCTCTGCACTAATCCAATTAGATGTTTTACAATTAATAATAAAGGAAAATCTAGCATTCCTAACACATTCCATAATGAGCAAATTCATCTTCCTTGGAAACCCAAACATGTTTAAAACTTGAGATAAGGTTTCCCAATTCATACAATCATAAGCTTGCTACATATCAAGCTTAACCGCCATTAAACCTTTTCTCCTCTTGGAAGTTCTATGCTTGTGGATAACTTCTTGCGCTAGTAGACAATGATCAGACATTGATCTACCATTAAGAAAAGCTGCTTGTTCTTCTGTAATACTTTTAGCAATGTAACTCTTCATTCTATTTAAAATCATTGTAGCCACAAACTTATATGTCGATTGACACAAGCTAATAGGTCTATAATTGGAAGGTAAAGTAGGCTTCTTAATTTTTGGGATAAGAACTAAAAGTGTATTCTTCCACTCGTTATACATAATGCCAGACTTAATGAAGTCATTAATAGCCTTCCAAGTGTCTTCCTCCACAATCTTCCAATAAAACTTGAAAAAAGAAGTGGTAATGCCATCTAAACTAGGGGATTTATTGTTACCTTGCTTGAAGACAGCTTTCGTCAGTTCTTCTTTAGTAAAATCCATGTTCAGAGCATCATCATCCTCCTTGGAAATAATCAAATTTTCCTTACAGGAAGGCCAACCCGAAAGCATACATGTTCTGGCTGACCATTTTTTCTGAAAAAATCTGTAGAAAACCATTTCAATTTGTTCCAAATCTTCCACCACAGTCCCATTATCATCTTTAATCTGCCAAATCATATTGCCGTTCTTCTTCGTTGAAGCATACTGGCAAAAAAAATTATAATTTAAATCTCCAACTTATTGCCATCTGATTTTGGATCTTTGGTTCCACCAAGTGGACAGCCTACTCAAATTAACATTGAGAATATGAACTTTATTCCTCAACAAATTCATTTTATCTTCTGTTAAGCCTCCTTCATTAGCTTCTTCAATTTGAAATAACAGAATGTCTTTCTTCAACTCTTCCCTTAAAGAATTCAGTTCTCTGCACTTATTTTTATTCCAGTAATAAAGAGTTTTAATAGATCTCCTCAACTTCCTTTGAAGAATTTCAGCACAAGATCCAAAATCCATTCTTGCCCAAGCTTTCAGAATAATATTCCAAGTGGCTGGATAACTCTTCCACGTGTCTTCAAATCTTAAGAGTCCCGAATTATGATTTTGATGATCCACTAGATTGATAGATATAGGAGCATGATCCGAAGCAACTCTAGGCAAGTGATGTACCTTAGCCATAGGAATATTATGAAGAGCCATAGAATTTAAGAGACATCTGTCAAGTCTCTCCCAGATTCTAGAATTCCCTTCCTTGTTATTACACCATGTATAACTAGGACCCACAAATCCTATATCATGGAAGTCATTATTAATCATAAACTTCTTCATATCTGTAGAACCAATGGAAAGATGGAACCTCTTTCCACCCCTCTTGTCCTCCTTAGAGAGGATACAATAAAAATCCCCTCCTATGATACAAGGCTCATCACCACACATACGGTCTTCATGCTTGTTCCAAAGAGTTCTACGGGTTTGAGCATCTTTACCTCCATAAACAGTATCAATGTTCCATTTACCCAAAGCATTGATTTTGAGCTGTCCTACTATTACTTGAGACGAATGATCAACAATTTCAAAAGAAGCAAACTCTTTTTTCCACATGACTAGGATGCCACCCGAAGTACCAATCGCAGGATGATGGAAATAATCCCATTCGCTTCCAATAATTTGTTTAATATCATTCCTATCAATAGAAGAAATCTTGGCTTCAATCGATTCCACAAAAAAAAAACCATTATGATCTTTCACAACTTCTCTCAAATATAGGGAGGCCTCCCTCTTTCTAGCCCCCCTAAAATTCCAAAAAATAATGGAATCCATTAAGCAATAATAGGGGAAATATCCCCTACCATTTTGCTGTTTTCCTTGTCTCCTCTTCTCTTTCTTTGCTTAGTTTCCATAGGGCCCAAAGACCTCAATTTCTTTGGAAGCTTGCCTTTCCCTGAATTAGAAGTTGATACCAACTGGTCTTCACAAATCTGTACAGTATTAGTAGCCTGTAATTCTGGAGAAATACCAACATCAACAGAATCAAAAAGATTAGATTTATTTAGCAGCTCCTCATTAGTCTTCTCAACAAATTCTCCCTCCAAATCACAATCCAAAATTTGGAATTTATTCAAAGCAACAGGTATTTCCTGCACCCGGAATTCTTCAGTTTCTATCACAGTTTCAGGAATTTTATCCATCATCCCATCTGGATTAAGTGAACCATCCAAATGTTCAGCAGCCTTCACCTATTTAACAGATCCAATAGGTCTAAATACCTGTTTAACTTGAGAATTAACTACAATATTCT